ACTAGTTAAGCTAAACTATAATTTGGTTTTTAGAAGACTTCAGAGGATATTTTTGGTTTAAAGGTTAAAAATTATCTCGGCAATAGTTTTAGGGGTTCATCCAACCTTCATGGCTCCAGGGAGTCTGGAGTCTGCGAGAACTTGAAATTCTGTTCTGCAGTTTCCGCCTTTCAGCCTGTAATCTTTACAGAAGCAGATCACTAGGTATTTCTCTTGTGGAGCCACCGATGGGTTTGAACCGCCCACCTTCTGGTTAGCAGCCGCCAAGTGCTTGACCATTGCACCACCAGGGCTCCTTGTAGCATGCCTTAAAAAACAAACAAACAAACCCATGTCATCGAGTCGATACCAACTCATAGTGACCCTATCGGACAGAGTGGAACTGCCCCATTGGTTTCTAAGGAGCACCTGGTGGACCCGAACTGCCGACCTTTGGGTTAGCAACCATAGCTCTTAACCGCTATGCTACCAGGATTTCCATAGCGTGCCTAGGAGGTCATAAACCCTGAGCGTGAGCCTTTGTAGCAACTGGTGAAGCTTCAGTAGCATCTTGAGAGCTGGGCTCTGACGGGTAGTGGGAGCTGTTCTTTCCATCTGGAGGTGCCGACTGCTGAGGACCGTGGGCCGATGGCTGTGGCTACCATAGGGAGTAAGAGGAATGAGAACCTAAAATGGGGGAGTTTCTCCATCTGCCCTGCCTTTTTGAGGTTCTTTGGGGAACTGTGAGGGAGGAGCATGTTTCTGGAAGTCAGGACGTGCCCAGGGGATGGAGGAGGTGAGGGGGTTGAGACTGTCCCACAGACCCCCTGGCTTGGCAATTCCTGCGCCGTCTGTGGTCCTGGCAGCACTCACTCGCCCTCCATATGGCAGTCGCTGAAGGTTGGCGGCTGTGCCTGGGAGACCTGAGATCGCTTCCTCTGCCTGGGAGGAGGAGGCAGAGCAGAGCTGGTAATTATAGACAGCCCTGCACAGGCCGGCCCAAACCAGTTCTCTCTATTCCCGGCTCCATCCAGCTCAGAGCCGTGGGATGGAAGAGTGAAGCCAAGGCAGCTTGGGGGGAGTCAGTGGGGGAGGGACCTTCAGCTGTTGCTGCCACCGGAGCCCTTCAGAAGAGGCAGGCCCTGCTAGCTTTCCTGGATCGAGGGCAGGGGGCAGAGGGGGAAGGCCTCTTCCCCTTGCAGAAGGTTTCTTCCCCTTGGAGTTAGCTGTTTTCACCTGGGAGAGTGCCCTTCCTGAGTAAGGTCTCACTTGGCCTGGAAACCCAGGGGTGACATGTCCACCTACCATGTGGCGCAGCCTGGTAGAGCAGAGAGCTGGGACTGTCTCGTGCTGGTCACTCCCCTGTTCGGAACCCTCCTGTTATGGTAGAATAGAGCCCAAACCCTTATCCTGGCCTCCAGCATGGGGCATCCCTGCCTCCTCTACAGCCTCATTTCCTGCGCTGAAGCCATACTGGAGCCTGTTTCTGCCGCAGGGCCTTTGCACCCACTGTGCCCTCTGTCTGGAATGCCCTTTCCTCTTTTCATGGTTGGCTTCCTCATCATCATTGAGTACTAAGCACAGCCTCACATCCTGGAGAGCAGTGGTCCCTGCTGGTCCTGTGCATTCAGAGCAAGACTCCCCCCACCCCCAAGTCCCTCTAGCACTTCATCACTCTGAAATTGTCTTGCTAATTTCCTGTTTGTTGCCAGCACCCTCCACCTTTGAGGGCCAGGGCCTTCTCCTTTGTTTGCTGCTGTTTATCCCCACTGCCAGCACAAGATAGCTGTTTAGGTATTTGTTCTGCAGATCAGTGGCTCTCCTCTGGGATCTGCCCCAGACCCTGGGGAGGTCACTCCGCCCACCCCCCCGGACCTCATTCTCTTTTCCAAAAGAAGAGGGGGGTACTCTTTCTTGGGCATGCCCTCTCCCTGTCGAGTTCCACCTGCCATCCCCTGGCCTTGGAAGTGACTGGACCGGGAAGGAGGCCTGCCTGGAGGTCCGAGCAGGCGCTAATCCCTCGGACTTCCCACCCTACAGTGAGACTGTTTACTGCCACAGAGCTGGCTCAGCTTAGGCTGGGATCATAGAATTTCAGCCTGGGCAGCTGACCTGCTTCGTGTCCTGTGTCCACGTCATCCACTGAGCCAAAACAAGCCTCGACTGGGGCTGACTCTTAATGGCTGATTGCCCAGCTTTGGGCCTCTCAGTGGGATGTGCCATTTCTGCTCCTCCAGGAGATTGAGCTTTGCCAGAGCGCCTGACGGTGGACAGGACCTCATTGTACCCACAAGGAGAGGAAGGATGAGCCAGTGGGGGAATCTGTGGGGCCGGCAGATCTGTGACTGAGGTCTGTGATTGCACCTCTTTCAGAGAGTGTCACAGTGAGGATCCTCTGGAGGCTTTTTGCAGCCAGGCCCAAGCAAGAGGCATCCTTCCGAATTCTCTTCTGCTGGGAGGGTGTGAAGGGTCCTTACCTCTCCAAGGCGAGGAGTGTGTTGTAAAGAAGTCACTCCATACAAGGGTCCCAGGTCCCTGGTGTGTGTGGTATGTCATGTGGGTGAGGTTGGAGGGCAACACAATGGGGCAGGGTGAATGTGCAGAGTCAGACCAGCTGAGTCAGTGTGAGTGTGGGAGGAATGAATTACTCAGGGCCACTTGCTGGGTCAGCGTGAGGGACAGGGAGACAGCGTCAACAGAGCCCCAGAAGGCAGAGGGGGCAGGCTTTTCATCTAAATAAGAACCTTCTTCTTGTTATTAGCTGCCATCCAGTTGACCCCCAACTCATGGCAACCCCATACACAACAGATGAGACCATTGTGATCCATAGGGTTTTCATTGGCTGATTTTCAGAAGTAGGTCATCAGGCTTTTCTTCCTAGTCTGTCTTAGTCTGGAAGTGCCGCTGAAACCTTTTCAGCATCGTAGCAACGTGCAGGCCTCCACTGACAGGTGGTGGCTGTGCTTGAGGTGCATTGGCTGGGAATCGAATCCAGGTCTCCTGGGTGGAAGGCGAGAATTCTGCTACTGAACCTCCACTTTAGATTCAGGAGGCCTGATTCATTCCCCAGTCAGCCAGCCCACCTCTCTGCAGAGTATTTGCCGACAGCTGACACAGCCTGACCAGGGCAAACTCTTCCTTGCCAGGGGATTGGTTAGGTCAGTTTTTCCCTCCAGTTTGCTCAGTCGTCGGAATCACCCGGGACCATTGTTAAAAATCAGACTCCTGGGTCCCACTCATACCCACCGTGCAGGATCTCCAGGGAGTGTGGCCGTGGGACTCTGGTTTGACTATTGTAACACGCACTCGTGTGACTCAGAAGACCAGTAGGTTGGCCACACTGCACCAGTCGTCCTGCATAAAGGAGTATTCTGGGCACAGCTCTGAAAATAAACTTAGTGGCCACCACCAGCCCTGGTTCATGCTGACAGCTTTCCAGGAGTGCTACTGGGGCAGTTAACACAGGGGCAGGGGTGGGATGTTGAAGATTTATGTGTTATTTAATTGGTAGAATACTCCTTTTCTCTTTATAAATAACATCAATACCAGGTGATGTCATTGAAGTTGTTGTTGGGTGCCATCAGGTCAATTCCAACTCATAGCAACCCCGTATGACAGTGTGGAACTGTTCCATAAGGTTTTCTTGGCTGTAATCTTTACGGGAGCATATCACCGGGTCTTTCTCTTAGGGCACCAGTGGGTGCGTTTGAACCGCCGACCTTTCGTTAGCAGCCAATTGTTTACCCGTTGTGCCACCAGGGCTCCTTCGTCGGTGAAGAGAGACCCTGAAACCCATTTGATGGGACTCTGGATGTGTGGATTTTATTCTCCTGGTTATGTGGGCAATGAGAATGTCAGCAATTATGGAGACCACAGACCTCATGGACCACGCCTGATAGTATTATTGGTGGTGGAAGGACAGCAGGATATAGCCAGGACTTAGGAGTGATATACTAATGAAGGGTCCCCCAAGTCAGGTGCTGTCTTGGAGGTCACAAAACCCATGGCCACGTGGGAAGGCAGATAACAGCCCTGAGCTCTAAGGCTCAGAAGAGCTTCCTGGTTGATGTCAATGCGTAGGAGAGGGTAGTGAATCCATCCTTGGGACATGAAGCTCTGTGCTGTAACCTCTCCCAGACCTCACCCTGTGCATCTCTTCATTTGTGTCCTTTTTGATTGTAATAAAGCTTTAGCTATAAAGATGGTGTACCCCCCGTGAATTATGTGAGTCACTCCAGCAAATTAACAAACCCACAGGGGCAGTGAGAGCTGGCATGGGCTAGTGTCTGCCTATTTGGCAGTCTGAAGAAGGTGTCCTTCTAACGTGTGAGCTCTGAGCCAGCTCTGGGTGGCTAAGATCAGAGAGAGAGTGTCGTGTGAGCAGCTGGCGATGCGAATGGAGAAGTGGGAAGGTGAGGACTGGCTCCATTTCCACATTTTGGGGGTTGGATTCACACTGATCCTTACCACGCAGTTATCAACCAAGGTGGAATTTACCCACTGTGCCCCTTGTGTAGTGCAGTAGTGATGAACAGTCTCATAACTTCCCTGATTAGTTTCTTAAGATAAATTGCTAGAATGTAATTCATCTCTGGACCATAGGGCCAAATATAAGGAGCCCCAGTGGCACAACAGATAAACGCTTGGCTACTAACCAAAAGGCTGGTGATTTGAACCCACCCAGTGGCTTCTCGGGAGAATGACCTGATGATCTCCTCCTGTAAAGATTACAGCTGAGAAAACCCTGTGGGGCAGCTCTACTCTGTCTTACAGGGTCACTATGAGTCGGTGTCAGCTCGACGGCAACAGGTTTTTTCAGGGGGCAAGGGGTGCACAGACTTGTTTTCATCTGAGCCAGAGCAGAGGCCAGGCCACAACTGGATTCTGGAGGGAAGTTGTGGGTGTTGGGGTAGGGGCACCTCTCTGCCATCCATGGAGTAGGATGCTTGCTTTCTCTTTCTCTTTGATACCAGACTAGATGGTCTCCTTATCTTTTTTTTTTCTTTCTTTTCTTCCCCCAGAGGCTCATCCAAAATAGAGGAAGCATGCGAAATCTACGCCAGAGCGGCAAACATGTTCAAAATGGCCAAAAACTGGAGTGGTATGTGATGGGCCACTTGCTTCTCAGCTAGAGCACCTCCTCGTTCCTTCTCCTCTTTGCCCTCAGCTCCCAGTCCCAAAGGCCTGACCTGGAGGTCAGCCTGGCCATCCCCTCTCCCTTCATACTGTCTCCAGCCTCATTAGTCGGCTGCCTGGCAGTCATTTGGTGTCCATTGGGTGGTTTTACAACTTGGGTCATGGGGGCTTGGAGACAGGGCATAAAGGATGGTGGTAAATGGATTATTGACCCCAGACAGACCCTAATGGATTGATGTGCTAGTTGGAGCTCTTTGATGGCTCTGTCCCTACATGCAGAATTTAAGGTGTCCCTGAAACTGTCACCTGGCACTTCTTTCAGAGTCTGAATTCTGGACTGGGAAGGGGGTGGCATGGAGTGGTTTCAATTAGAGGAAGCCCAGCTAAGAAATGCTTGGAGGGTTATTGTTGTTAGGTGCTATCAAGTCGATTCTGACTCAGTAGTGACCCCATGTGACAGTAGAACTGCCCAGTAGGGTTTTTCAGGCTGTAATCTTTATGGGAGCAGATTACCAGGTCTCTCTCCCGCAGAGCAGCTGGGTGGGTTCAAACTGCCAACCTTTCGGTTAGCAGCTGAGCGCTTAACCGTTGCATCACCAGGGCTCCTTGGGGTTGCTGAGAATCACAATCGACTCAGTGGCACACAACAAGCTTGGAGGGAGGGGTAGGTAAAAGGAAGTGTTGTGGAGGAGAAGTTAAGATGATGATGGTAACAATCACAGCTACCATTTATTGAGCAATCTGCCAAATTCCAAGCCTTTGTTGATTAATTGAATCACGACAACAACACTATGAGGGGAGGTGCCATTACTACCCCCCTTTTACAGATTTGGAAACTGAGGCTCGGCTGAGCCCCTCACCTAGGGTGTCACGCCTAGTGAGTGACAGAACCAGGATTTAGAAGCCAGGGCTCTAACACAGTGCCAAACACTGAACTTGCCCGTGTGTTGCTTCATGTGCTGTGGAGCCTGAGCAGCTCGGCTTTGTGTCACGGCTCAGACTGGCTTTGTGACCCTGGGGAAGCCACTTGCCCTCTCCTAATCTGCTTCCTCTTCAAAACAATGGGGAAAATAAGAGTCCAGCACCATAGGCCATGATGTGGATTCCTGGCAGTAGGCGCCCAGGGAGTGGTAGTCGCTTTGAGCCTCCATTACGCCTGTTAGCGGTTGTTGTTGTTACCGGTTGTCGTCGAGTCCATTCGGACTGACGGCGCCCCATGCGTGCAGAGTAGAACTGTTCCATAGAGTTTTCAAGGCTGTGACTTTTCGGAACAGATTGCCAGGCCTGTCTTTCGAGGTGCCTCTGAGTGGGTTCAAACCACCAGTCTTCTGGCTAGTAGTTGAGTGCTGAACCATTTACACAACGTAGGGACTTCCCTGTCAGCGGTACTGGGCAGAAGAGCTCCCAGAGGACTCTGGTGAGCAGATTCATAAACATGAGGGACACCTACTGCGAGGTGCCCAGGCCCTGCCTCCTGTGGGCTCTCACTCCGGCGGGGACAGACACACAGTGACAGTGTCAGTGCCATGCCCAGCTGAAGGAGAGTGTCCCAGGGAGTGTGGCTGATGGGACACGCCGGGTGTCTGCCTGTGGGTAGAGTGTTGGGCAGAGTCGTGGCTCTTACATGTGGCTTTGAGGTTTGTGGTTAGACTCTGCAAGGCTGGTGCTTGATTGGGATCCACCAAGGAGAGGTGGGTGGAGAGAGGTTGGAAAAACTTGAACGTTAAGCCTGTTTGAAAGAGCCCTGGTGGTGCAGTGGTTACGTGCTTAGCTGCTACCTGAAAGATCGGCGATTCGAACCCAACCAGCTGCTCCATGGGAGAAAGATGTAGCATTCTGCTCCTGTAAAAATTTATGGTCTTGGAAACTCTGTGGGGGCAGTTCTTCTCTGTTGTATAGAGTGTCTGTGAGTCGGAATTGACTCAAAGACAATGTAAGGGTTTGGTTTTTTTTTGAAGCCTGTTTGGGGCTGGCTTCATGATAGGGCTTCAAGTGTAAGGGAGATTTACTCAAGGAAATAAAGCAGGAGACCCTGCTTTGAGACCCAAAGCGGAACTTTCTGATCACGAGGAAGATGGCACATGGGGATAGGGGACCACAAAGGCAGAGGGGAAGGCTCTGGAAAAGCTCGTTATCATCACCATCAACCAGTGTTTTTGGTTTCCTAAAAATTAGAAGAGTTTTTCCTGAACTTTCACAAAATACATTGTGCATGAAGCCAAATGCTGTACGTATTTTTAGGCTCCCAAACTAATAGAGTGTCTTTAGAGAAGGAATAGGAGCCCTGGTGGTGGGGCAGTTAAGTGCTCAACTGCTAACCAGAAGATTGGCAGTTCAAACCCACCCAGCCACTCCACAGGAGAAAGAGCTGGCGATCTGCTGCTGTAAGGATTACAGCCTAGAAAACTCTATTGGGCAGTTCTACTCTGTCACATGACGTCGCTATGAGTCAAAAATTGACCTGATGGCACACAACAACAGGGAAGGAATGCTTATGTTTAATCACAATGATGTTACTTTTCACCTGAAACTTGTGACCTCACCCAACTATTCAAACAGAAGTCCTAGGCCATTTCCCCTCTATGATATCCCCTTTTCTGGAAGTTTGGCACTTTTAAAAACAATAAAGACTTCCCCTGTAGTGAAAACCTGGATGGCGTTGTTGATTCTGCCGCCCAAGCTAGAGGACAAGGGTGGGTCCCCTCAGTCCTCTCCCTGCACAGGGATCCTGTGATTTGAGTTCATCTGGCGGAGAGTGAAGAGAAGTAGCCGCAGAACAGAGCTGGCGTGGCTGTTGGAGCTGAGCATCAGATGCTTCCACGGGAAGTAGGGATGTCCTGTGGTCCCCCTCAAGTCAGTTTAGGAGACGTGTGTACAGAATGGTTGGGACCCGGGGAAGGTGACCGTGTGCAGATGAGGGCAGGACAGATGGCTCGGGGGTGCTCTCCACTACCCTTTGCCCATGGACACTTGTCCCCTGTATTTTTGTTCTTTTTTTTTTAATAATATTTTATTGAGTTTTTCGTGAAAGTTTACACAAGTTAGGTTCCGATTTGACAATTTCCACACAAATTGTTGGCTGACATTAGTTATATTTATCACAAATTGTCAACATTCTCTTTTTTTTTTTTTTGACAATCTCTACATGTACAACTTAGTAACATTGATTACATTCTCCGAGTTGTACATCCGTTCTCACCCTCCTTTTCTGAGTTGTTCCTCCCTAATTAACATAAACTCACTGCTCCCTAAGTTTCCTATCTAATCTTCTGAGTTGCCATTGTCACTTTGATCCCATACAGATAGATCTTAAGAGTATAATGTTGAAGGCATTCTTTACTAGTTAAGCTAAACTATTGTTTGGTTTTAAGAAGACTTTGGGAAATATTTTTGGTTTAAGATTTAAAGATTATCTTAGGGCAATGGTTTCAGGGGTTCATCCACCCTGCATGGCTCCAGAAAGTCTGGAGTCCATGAGAGTATGAAATTCTGTTCTGTATTTTCTCCCTTTTGATCAGGATTCTTCTATGGAATCCTTGATCAAAATGTTCAGTATTGGTAGCCGGGCACCATCCAGTTCTGGTCTCGTGGCAAAGGAGGCAGTTGTTCATGGAGACAATTAGCCACACATTCCATATCCTCCTCCTATCCCTGACTACCCTTCTGCCTCTTGCTCCAGGCAAATAGAGATGAATTATTGTACCTTGATATACTCTTGTTCTTGGTGTCCATGTCCTGTTTCTTCTGTGGACCTGAGGGTGGAGCCTACAGCAACTGAGATGGATGGTTCGGGGCAATTAGACAGGAAGAGCCTCTGGGAGTTGTGGGGGAAAGAAATAGGACTTGGAAAGGTGGGGGACATGGGGGAGAGGGGTTGTATAGTTTAATCTGAATTGCCCCTTTCCTCCTTCACCCCCTCTGCACCCTACCCCAACTGCTCAGCCTACAGTGCCGTCTGGTGGCAGTTCTGAGCTATGGGGTTTGAGGCTCCCCTTGGGAGGACTGCTGCAGTCAGGGAGTAGAGAGGCCTCGTGTACTCTGTGTAGCTCCATCTTTGTCTGCCTTCTCCTTGGAGCTGTGGGGGTGATGGCCTGAGATGTTGGCAGAGGCTGGGGCTGGGGATGCGAGGTCTTAGCCGGGCACACCTAGTGCTCTTCCTGTACACCTGGGGGCTCGGGGCTTCCTCATGAGGCCAGGTCCCTGCCTTGGTCGGAGACTGCCAGGTGTATTCCCCGGAGCCTCAGCCGAGGGGTCTGGAGGACGAGGGCTAGGCCTCGCCCTAGCTAGTCTCTTCCTCTCTCGCCCCACCACGGCCAGGCTCAGCCTTCTCTTCTTTTCCAGCTGCCGGAAACGCTTTCTGCCAGGCGGCCCAGCTGCATCTGCAGCTCCAGAGCAAGCATGATGCTGCCACCTGCTTCGTGGATGCTGGTAACGCCTTCAAGAAGGCTGATCCCCAAGGTGAGGCTCTGGGGCACACGATCGCAGGCTCGATGCTCAGAGCACCAGGGATGGAGAGATGTCCTCGGGTTTCCATGTGGCCCTGTTTTCTAGTGGCTGACATGATAGGCTGGCCGGGAGGCACTCAGGGGGCCAGTCAAGCGCTAGCTTTACACTTGGCTCCCTCCTGCCTGGCATTTGCCCCTGCCTCCTCCGGCGCTGTGTGCAGTTGATGGCTCCCTCCTTGTCGCAGCCCAGGGAGCGTGTGGGAGTGGGAGTTCCATTCCAGCCCCACCGCATGCCAGAGAGAGAGCAGAAATCTGTTCTGCCGTCAGAATTAACACACAGAAGGAGTTGGGGGGATGTCTCAGGCCAGTCAGATAGGAGTTGCTGCCAGAAAAGGAGTGGAAATTCTCCCCACCTGGCATCTCTGCACCCTGGAGAGAAACGTTAGAGGAACAGAGACTCAGCCATAGTTGCCGGAGAACAAGTTACTTGAAACGAGAGCATTGGGGCCAGAAGCCTGGTTTGGGGCTGATGCACAGCGAGAGAGCAGTCTTTGTCCCACTGGGCTCATCCTGAAGCGAAAGCTCAGCCCCGTGGATGGCAGACATTTGGATTGCATGGGGCAGGAGTTTTAATTTACTTATTTTTAATCTCGGTGCCAGACGTAGGTTGCTAACTTTTAATTTTAGGAAGAAAAGACTTTTTTTTAAAAAATGAACATCTTCAGTCACCATAGAGGACAATGGTGGTTCAGTAGTAGAAGTCTCACCTTCTGTGTGGGAGACCCAGGTGCAGTGCCTGGTCAGTGTACCTCATGCGCAGCCACCAACTGTCTGTCAGTGGAGGCTTGCGTGTTGCTGTGATGCTGAATAGGTTTCAGCAGAGCTTCTAGACTAAGACAGACTAGGAAGAAAGGCCTGGTGATCTCCTTCCAAAAATCAGCCAGTGAGAACCCTGTGGATCACAGCAGTCGGATTTGCAAACCCTCTTGGGGATGGCGCCAGTTTGGGTAGCATTTTGTTCTGTTGTACGTGGAGTTGCATCGTGTCGAGGGTGGACTCAACAGCCGCTAACAACTGTCACCATCCTCTTAAAAGAGAAAGGAAGATGTACAAATGTTAAAAAAAAAAAAGAGAGAGAGAGATGCATTATCAGTTGCCACTGAATCGATTCAGACTCATGGCGACCCCATGTGTGCAGAGTGGATCTGCTCCATAGAGTTTTCAGGGCTGTGACCTTTCAGAAGCAGATCACCAGGCCTGTCTTCTGAGTTGCCTCTGGGTGGGTTTGAACTGCCAGTGCTGAACCATTTGCGCCACCCAGGGACTCCAGGAGATGCATGATCTCGGGCTAAAGATCAAGAGACCATTAGCGATGGGAAACCAATAGTCTCTGAGGGACTGAGCGCCGGCCCTCACACCAGTGTGCCAGAGTTCCTGGCGTACCCCATTACCAGGGATGCTTCGTGCCCAGGCAAGAGTTTAGTCTCTGTGTGGATGATGTAGTGTCTCTGTGGTCCTAGACTGACCAGCCACTCTTCTCCCGGGTATCTGACAGATGGTCGCCGGATGGGTCATGGGGTGGGGCTCCCCGAGGGGCCGTGTCGTGACTGTGAGTGGGCCGGCGCTGCTCTGTGTATGTATGAAGCTGAGCATACCTGGCGAGGAGCACCGGGCCACAGCAGGCTGTGTGGGTGACGTGGTGACAACCCAGGGTGCCCCGGGCTTGTTTTCCACTTGAATCACCCAGGGGAGGCTCTGCATCCCCCACAGAGCCCCTCCTTCCCCAGCCTCCCCATCTGGTCCCCGGGGAACTGGTCAACCTGGAGATGCTGCTTCAGCATCTTTGGGGTTCAGCTGCTGCTCCAGAACAACCGGAAGGACTGGTTTCTGGTCTGGTGAGCCAGCAGCGCCTGCCCTGTGATGTGCGTATAGTGCCATTTGCTCTTTAAACAAACCCTACCGCTTCCCTCAGACGGGCCCTAGTCGGCATCCACATCATGATGGTGTAGGGTCCCCTTCCTGGCCATTGATGGGGGCTGTCTGGCTCTACAGGGACCCCTACAGGGATGTGGTCGCTGCTAAAGATACAGCCTTAGGAAGCAGGGATGAGGCTGAGGAGTCCCAGACTGGGGGACAGCACGTGAAGTGACAGTGTGACAAAGCTGCCTCATTGTGAGCACAGATGCAGGCTGGTGTGGCTGCCTTTTCTGAGCGGGGGTGGGGTGCATTTGGCTGGGGTGGGCTTGCAGGCAGCAGGAGGGGCCATCGTGCCCAAGGAGAGCCTAATTTGGGCACAGCTGGCAAGGAGGTGCCTTGGATGGATCCCTGGGTACTCGGTGCTGAGCAGGGAGGGATGTGAGAGCGGTGTGCCAGCCCCAGCCATCTGGGACCGTGGCCAGCCTGGGGGTGCGGGAGAGGGCACATTTGCATCAAGGGGTGACAACTGCTTTGTGTCTCGGATCGGTCAGGCGTCACAAAGAAGTTCCGTGGCAGCTGTGTGCAGGTGCCGCTGGGCCCGGGGCCCCGGCCTCTGATTTGAGAGGAGCTGCCTCCCCTTGACTCCCAGGGCAGGTCCCTGAATCTCTCTGCACTTCCATCTCCTCGCCTGCTGAAGCAGGGAAGGGAAAGCAAGGCCTTGCGCACCTGTGCCCCGTGTGGTTTCTGGGGTGTGATGAATGGTCGAGAGGCAGCCCTGGGCCCCACCAGATTTGGGGAAGGTGTTCTCCCGCCTGGCCTGGGCTCCCACCACCCTGCCCCCTCCGAGTAGAAACAGGGGGCCTGGAGGGCCCATTTGGAACCTGCCTGGTGGCTCCAAGCAGGTGGCTGACTCTCTGGGGCCCGTCCTTATTGCCGGTTGCCTCACCTGTGCGGCTGAAGGCTTCTGTCCTGTGCCTGTACTTCCTGCAGGAGTCTCTCCAGGCCTCTAAAGGCTGCCTGAGGCCTGACACATTGCCCTCCCCGCTGCTGAGTTGGCCTGGACTGTGGCGGAAGTCTGGTGACTGGGGAGGAGGTGGCATCCATAGCTGTCAGTGGGTCGTCAGCTTCCCATCCACTGCCGCCTGCTCTGTGTGGATGCAGCCCAGGAAGGCAGCTGAGATGTGCAGGGACCCATCTGCCTGGGAGCCACAGCCCTGAGCAGGGAGGTGTGTGCCCCACTTGCACCTCCCTTCTGTCCCCCTGCCGCCGTTTCCCAGGTGCTTGCTGGGTGCCAGGTGCTTAGCATACGCTCTTAGTCCATTCAGCTTCCTTGTAAGAGTCTGTACTTTGCCCCCATTTTACAGAGGAGGTAATGGGCTAAGTCCTGGGGATGGCCAGGGAAGGCTCCAGAGGGGCAGGAACCACAGCAGGGTGAGGGCCGGGTGGGCCCTGGATTGCTGCTGCTGACTCCCTGTCTCCTTACCCAGCACCTCAGTTCCCTTATCCGGAAATCAAGAGCTTGGGCTGGATGATTCTGGAAGCCTCTTGTAAACTCCAGTTCCTTGCTGGGTGGTTGGAGGAGGGGTGAGGCTGGCACGTGCCACCTAAGAGGTTGAGCCGGGGGAGCATTCTGCACACCTGAGAGCTGCGCCAGCGGGCCACCCCCTGGATGGTCCTGGGAACCCCAGAGAAGCCGGTTGTAGCCTTTGTGTCAGCAGCATGTCTGGGAGCGTGTCTCTCAGGGGCATCACTGGTGGCCTGCTGCTTCCAGGGTCAGCTGTTCTGGCCAGGGTCCTGGGGCAAGGAGCAAGCATGACGGGGTTTTCACCCTGTGACTCCGTGTTGCTCCCACTCAGAAGGCTGATAGCCCATGGGAGCCAGTACCACCAGGCCCAGGGTGGCCACCGCAGGGAGCTTGTCTTGCAGGGAGACTCTCAGCCTCTCCCAGTCCACCCCAGCTGTTCATCTCACCAGGGAGCTGTGTGTGCCACCTCTGCCTGCCAGGCACTAGGTGGGGCATCAGAGCCTACTGAGCAGGTGAGGGAGCCAGTGAGTGGCACAGGGTGCTGTGTGTGCGCCCTGCCCCGGAGGATGGAGCAGGGGCTGGGAGGCAGGGCAGCCCTGTGCCTTCCTCACCCTCCACACTGCGTCACCATACAGCTGCTCCCTCATCGACTCTTTAGGGATTTGCTCTATTGAAAGGTGTGTGTGTGTGTGTGTGTGTGTGTGTGTGTGTGTGTGT